TTAGAATTCTTTTTTGTTTCTTTTCTTTCTCCCAAATCCCTGGGAGAACCCTGAAAACCTGTAGACTTGAATCAGGACCTGAATCTGAATTTAGCCCTGCAAGGGCTAGGGATATCTGTTAAGTTCTTCGAGCTGATCGACCGTTTAAAGCTCCATGATCTGACACCTGAGTACCTGAGTGATGAAATATAATATTGCACAATCGATTTTTCATCATGTTCTGCTTATATAAACACAGCAATCAGCAAAGTCTAAAAAAAAAAGTAAAAAATAAAAATAAAATAAGATAATCCCTACCTACCGACCCTAATTTTTTCTGGACTGAAACAGGAAACACAACATTTTTTTTTCCTTGGCCTTATCACTGAAACAGAAACATCAATTTCATCAACATCTATTTCGTCACTGTACTGACCTGACTGGTATCATCTGTAATCCGGTTCTGATCAGGGTCGAACCAGGCCAGTCCGGTGACAGTTCCCATAAATAGACATTTTCATCTGTCAGTCTTTTCTACTACTCTAGCAAGAGTTATCACCAGAGACAGAATGGCGAGAGAAACATCAATTTCTACCCGTCGCTGTACTGACCTGACTGGTATCGTCTGTAATCCGGTTCTGATCAGGGTCGAACCAGGCCAGTCCGGTGACAGCTCCTGTAGCCGAGCAGGTGAAGAGGCTTCCCTCTGCCACCGCCTTCACCTGGTCTGTGTCCGGACTAACCGTCAGACTCGACTGGCACGCTGAAACAACAAGGGCCAACGTCTTAGTAAATGGTTTTATAGTCCCAAACAGTCGCTACCTTTATACGGCTGAATTGATGCAGGGTATCACATAATAATCAATAAACAATCAAATAATACACATGATACACAATCATATTTGCTCCACAATTTTTTTTGTCGCAACGGTCTGTGCGGCTGCCATTCGGCGCCACAAGGTGACCTCAATACGACTTTTCCCAACCGAAGTTAGGTACCCATTCACACCTGGGGGGAGTGAGGAAAGTTAAGGAGTGTTAAGTGCCTTTTCTTAAGCAATAAGCAGTAAGCAATAATAAAACATATTAAGCCTACATATGGTCATATTTGCATTTTTAAGGATGATATCCTGCCTCTAAGTCTTCAAATGTTGAGACGGAAAACATATTGTCTACAACGGGCAAAATTCTGATACAACGTTGACCAAACATCCAACAGAAACCAAGCTTTAGCGCAGGCAACACGCTACAAAGTCCCATGTGTGTTCAGCAAAACTATCCTGGGTTCCAGGTCATGTGTGAAGGGGGAAACAGCTTGTCAGTTGTTCCTTCCATCTATTACATAACAAAGTTTGGTCCTGTTTGACATCCTGTTTTTATAGCTTCAACACATGATTTTCTCACAAATACCACTGATGTCATGTAACACAAACGTACATGTACGTTTAGGGTTACCTCATTTTATTCAAGAAGCAGGGTTCAAAATTTATTTTTGGGAATAGGTACTATACATTTAAAATCCTTACATTTGTAAACCTACGAAAATATATGGGTGCACTGGTGCACCCACAGAAAAATATTGGATGCACAGCTCCAAATTTCGACTAAGGTGCACATGCACCCAGTATTTTGAGCCCCGACGTGTAAGTTTTTGGCAACTCATTTTTATTCGTAGAAGTGTTTGAGGCAACCATCTGCCGTCCCTTGCTGTACCATAGAGGGAACAAAACATACAGAAAACCTACAGAAAGGGCTGAAAAAACACGAAGCCCACCTCACAGCAGGACTTGACAGATACTTGTTTAGTAAGTGCTCGGGATGCGCCCTTGTGAGTGATTTAGTCCCATGTGTTACAGAACTGTGGCTGGTGTGACGAATGCTTTAACTGGGTTACTCAGCTACATGTCCCTTTGATCACCCTTTGTGCATCAAAAATCACAGCAGTGACTGCTGTTGATAACAGGAGTGGCTGGGTGTTGCTTGGAGCAAGACTCTTTTTTAAATTTTTTTATTCCAACATGTAATGTCACCAGACGTGGTGACGACACACTCAAGTTTTTTCTACTTATATTAATGCCGCCACCAACACAGGGGACAAATATACATGACATGACAGGACAATACTCATTAACACCTGAGCTAAGTGAGGAAAGCCGTGTAAAGTGTCTTTCCCAAGGGCACAAGATTGGTGGCTGTTTCCTAGTCATCTTGTAATATGTAATGAAGTGACTGTCATGGTCATGATTGGCCTAACTTTCCTACTTCATATCCTGACACACACAAGAGGAAAAACAAGCTGTGTGACTTCACTGACATGTAAATCTTGACTGGAAGTGTAACTATTTTTTGGCTAATTAGTTTTCAACCATGTCTTCATGCCAACTCTAGACTAGGGAGTAGTGATATGTACTGAAATATGGTCATGGTTGGCCTTTTTCTGCTTAATCTTGATACAAACACGTAAATCTTGATGGAAATGTAACTATTTTTCGGCTGATTACTTTTTGGCTATGCCTTCATGTCAGCTCTCGGGAGTAGATGGCATCTGAGTTTGGCATCAGGAGTATGTCAGGTAGGACGGCCTCCAAGGATTGGTACCAGATTTCCGTTGGTGGCAATAGTCCATCCCATATTTCCTCCCTACCATAGCAACTGTCGGCCTACGCCCTAGTAACCAGCAGGCAGGCCCTGGCAACCAGCACGCAGGCCCTAGCAACCAGCAGGCAGGCCCTAGCAACCAGTACGCAGGCCCTGGCAACAGGATGAGCCCCGGAGACTGAACATGTCGGGTGTTTCCTGTACCCAAGTGTACATAACCTTTAAAGTCAGGGTATTAACATTTCCCTCAACACAACTGTTACATACATGGTAGTTACATTTACAGCAAGCTCTGGTTAGACGGTACCAGATTGCAGAAGTTATGACAGTAGACTTGGCGCACAAACAAGTTGGCTATTTCCTGTACTAAAGTGTACATAACTTTAAAGAGGGCCTGCAGAGGGGGGGTCCCGACAACGCTCTACGCTTAATTCAGAAACCTCTCGATTACGCTTAACGAAAAATTCCAAGTGGCGACAACGCATTACGTAGAATTAAAATGGCGAATACGCTCTACGCAAAATGGTAAGAGCGGTCTGTCTACGTTCTACGTAGAATTAAAACGACCGATTACGCTCTACGGAAAAGGGCTTGCGGGCCCCCTTTAAAGCCTGGGTATTAACATCTCCCAGACAGTACCAGATTGCAGAAGTCATGACAGTTAACTTGGCACACGAAGATGTCAGTGGTTTCCTGTACTCGAGTGTACACAACCTTAAACTTAAGTCATTTCCCTGAACACAACTGTTAAGAACTGTTAACCTAACTCCTGGAATGGAGTCGCAGCTATGTCTAGTTTCCCTGAGGTTAGGAGATGGTATCAGACAGCACAAGTTAAGTTACGACAGTGAACTTGGCACATGAATATGTCAGTGGCTTCCTGTACTCAAGTGCACATAACCTTCCAGTCTGGGTATCGACATTTCCTTTAACACCACTGCTAACAACTGTAAACCCAAGTCTGGACAACAAGTCCTGGTTGGGAGATGGCACGAGACAGCAGGAGTTATGACAGTGAACTTGGCACATGAACATGTCAGCTGTAAAGTGTACATAACCTTTAAAGTCAGGATATTTACATTTTCCTCAACACAACTGTTACTTCCAATACAAGTACTGTTAACAACTCCTGGAATGAAGTAGCAATGATTGTTACAACCCTCCCTGGTTAGGAGACGGCATGAGACAGCACGAGTTAGTTATGACAGTTGACTTGGCGCATAGCTGCCGTGTCAGAAGGTCATGCCGCCATCCTGATGCCAACAACAACTTACACAGACTCCTGCTGAGGGGTCAAGTCAGGGCAAGTCATGACTCTTCCGTCAGCTGTCACACAGCCAGGGTGGTCTCTCACAGCCCAGGATACACACATTACCCTTCCAAATGGCTTTACTGTCTAGATCAATGAAAAATGCACAGCTCGAAATTCAAAAAATGAAAAATGCACAGCAAGTCATGACTCTTCCCTCAGCTGTCACACGGTCAGGGTGGTCTCCTGACAAGCCAAGATACCAACATTACTAATGTCGTTATAGAGTCAATTCCGCGTCACCGAGTGGGTTGTTATTGTCATTATTTAGAAATGTTTTGAATTCTTTGTAATTGTTTGTCTAAGAAATTTCATTATTTGGAAATATTTTGAACATCTTGTCAATATTCCAAATAATTCCCTGGTTTTCTAAAACGTTTGAAATATTCCTGATGTGGAATATGACATTTCCAATAGTTTCTAAATATTTCTAACAGCACTCTACCATTTTTTACCATTATTTCGAATTATTTCTAACATTTTGTAAATAGGTCAGTGGGATGGGAAGGAAGTAATTCACACATCCCTGTGAAGTACAGGGTAGACTGCCTGGGTGTCAGGCATTGATGCCTTACAACAAAAGAGCCACCAGTGTCCAACAGTGAAATCTAAAAATATACAGAAGAATACAGAAGAGTAGGATTAGCACCTACTTTTATGGGGGCAATTACCCACATCTACCATTTTTCATTTGTTTGAAATAGTTCTAAATATTTCGAATAGTGAAAGAAACAAATGGGTAGTTCAAATTTATTCTAAATAAAGAGATCTTTGTACAGTCACTTTCAAAAATGTTTCAGAAATATATAAATGAATTCAAAATATAATTCAAAATTTT